ATGGCTTCATAAATTAGTTAATTTAGCCTCCCCACACTTTAAGGTGGTACCTAATTTTCTTACTTGACAGATGCAACTGTCTTTTGGGTTGCAAAGGTCGACAACAGGCTACACAATTGGTTGGAAACCCACTCCAACGTGGGCTAGCTTTGAACTCATGACCCTTTGGTCAGAGTGATCTTAATGCAGCTGACACTCAGCCAGCTGCGCCACAATCCTGGTGCTCAACTGCAGGTGCACTCCTTACTCAGCACTCAGCTGCAGGCACCCTGGCGCTTTGGGCCTATGAATGCAGGCTTTGGGCCTAATATGCATTGTCTAAACTCTAAAGGAATACTTTTCATTTCATCTATGCTGACGATCATGCCATCACCACTCAAGCAGGGAGCTTTGAAATGGTTGAGCAGAAGCTCTACGAAGCTTTAGGTGCTCTTACTGTCTATAAATGTCTATAATAATCTTACTATCTATAAATGGAGCCCCCGGGGACATGAGAGAAGCCTCCCACAAAGATGGTAAAAACATCAAAACAGATGGCCAATTCTCTCACACCAGAAGCGACTTGCAGTTTCTCAAGTCGCTCCTGACATGACAAAAAACTGTCTATAACCGTAAGAACCAGCTGATTCCTAATCCATCTAAAACTTAATCATCTTAAGAGCAGACAAGCATCTCGAACTCTGAGGATTACTTGGGAAGGAATCCCACTGGAGCATTGCAGCACACCAAAATACCTAGGAGTTTCTCTGACATATAGGAAGCACTGTTTAAATATCAAGCAAAAAGTGGGTGCTAGAAAAAATATCATACAAAAACTGGCTGGCACAACTTGGGGAGCACAATCAGACTACTCTGCTGCTAAACATGCATGCCCAGTGTGGAATACATATCACCACATTAAAACAGAGGATGTGGATCTTAATGAGACATGTTGCATTATCACAGGATGTCTACATCCTACACTGCTGGAGAAATTATACTGTTTAGCCAGCATTGCACCACCTGACATCCTTCAGGAAGTAGCAGCCTGTAATGAAAGGAACAAGACACTGACATCTCCGACCCATCCTCTATTCGGATATCAGCCAACAAGCCAACACCTTAAATCAAGAAATAACTTCCTAAGCTCTAAAGAGATACTTGCAGGAACAGCTCAGTAAGCGAGAGTCCAAAAGTGGCAGCTTAAAACTCAGAACCTCAATCAGTGGCTGAGACCGGAGGAGAAACTCCCCCCTGGCCACACAGGAGAATGGGCGATCTGGAAGGCACTGAACAGACTGCATTATGGCACCACGAGATGCAGAGCCAATGGGATTACAAAGTGGAGACCATAATATGCGAGTGTAGCCACATACCACTTACTACAATGCAGCCTGAGTCCTGCCACATGCACAATGGAGGACCTTCTTACAGACACACTTCTGATCAAAGGAAGTTTAGCTCTAAAATCAGAATAGTCAGTTAAGAACAACAGTAAAAGAAAAGGGGGGGGGAATTCCAGACAAGAAACAATAGGGCCAGCTAACACCTCCTAACAAAGGATGGTTCCAGGCAGGAACCAGACAGGTTTTGAAGCTGCAAAGCTATTCAATCATAATCAAGGTGGCCAATTGCAACATACACACATGCCTCAAACAGACAAGAGTTCTTTCTCCCACCCTGGACATTCCGCAAATATATAAACCCGACTTGTCTAGTTTCCAACAAACCTCACAACCTCTGAAGATGCCTGCCATAGATGTAGGTGAAAAAAGAGAATGCTTCTGGAACATGGCCATACATCCCGGAAAACTAAGAGCAATCCAAAAATTTAGCATAATACCAAGTTTTTAACTTTGTGGTTTTTCTATACATTATCCTTGTATTCTCAATTCGCTTCTGACACGATAAATAAAAAATCTACCACAAGGATTTATCTCAATTGGTGTTGCCCTGTAAGCAGACCCCAACATGAGCTGTTTGACAGTACTGCAATGAAATGACATCTTTTAAACTTTTTAGAATAAAATTAATATATTTTCAGTATTTACCAAGAACCGCTAATGAATCACAATTAAGACCAAGTATCTGGACCTGAAACAAACCTCAAATAGCAAGCATGACAAGAAAGGGGAGCTTTTTGATGCCAATGTATATAGCTTAGTACTAGAGCAATCTATACTCAGGACAGGTTGGGAGATGTAGTTTAGTGAGGCACCACTGCTCTTTCGCAGAGAAGGCTAAAGACCTTTACAATTATAATTCCACAGGATGCCACAGCACTAAGCCGTGGCATTTAAAGTGGCATCAAACTGCATTAACGGTTCAGGCCCAGACTATTTGAAAAAACACATCTCTACGTACAAACCAGCACTAGCACTGCAGTCCACAGAGGAGGCCCTGCTCTCGATCCCACCCCCATCTCAAGTGGGGCTGGTGGGAACGAGAGAGGGGGCCTTCTCTGTGGCTGCTCCCTGTCTCTGGAACTCCCTCCCTAAAAAACTGAAAATGGCTCCTCTCTCCTCTCCTTTAAAAAGCTTTTAGTAAATTTGATGAAGTAGAAAGACCCATCTGTGTAATCTAGTCTATAGAGAGAAGGATTAGCATCTCTTACAACCATCCTCACCTTGACATCAGATCCTGCCTTAGCCTGCTGACGTGATATATGATATTATGCTTTTAATGTATAGTGTTTTAATTGGTCTGACTCCTTGTACTTATTATGTTTATTTAGCTTAACCCTTCGCTTCGGATGTCTACTATGGCTGTTACGAATTATGGGAGTTGGAATCTGAAACAAAGTTTGCCCATGCCTGGTGTAGATGCACCCAAAGTCCCAGACTAGAACAGTAACCACTACCTGATATTATTCTCCTTCTGTATAATTTGTTGTGTTTAAAGCAGATCCGTATTGAGAAATTCTTGACGCAGAGAGCTGGAAATGGTCATTCCAGAAACAATCCAGGCCTCATCATAGTAGGTGGATCCCATAGCCCAGTACAAGGAGGAGCGATTTGTTTGGAGAACACCCAGGAAAATACAAATTAGAGAGTTGCATAAGAGATGAGTGATGTATGCCCAGCAGGAAGGCTCCCAAGATAAAGAGTCGACACCTCAAATCTCACGGGCGTTATAAAAGATGAGACTTTTCTTCAGCTGATTCTGCGGAGCCCAAATACAGATCTGCACCGACCAAGGCCTGCAATGTAAGTTGAGGGTACTTTCACATTCATCTCCCTTCCCTTTCGACATAAGGGAGAGAGGAGTTGACAACCAATGTGGTGTCCCTCTTTTATGGGGATTGGTAGGACTTTGGGATGGTTACCTAAACTATAGAGCAGTGTTTCTCAACCTGGCGGTCGGGACCCCTGGGGAGGGGTCGCGAGGGGGTGTCAGAGGGGTCACTAAAGACCATCAGAAAACAGTATTTTCCGTTGGTCATGGGGGTTTTGTGTTTGGCCCAATTGTATCATTAGTGGGGTTTAGAATTCTCTTTGATTATAGGTGAACTATAAATCCCAGCAACTGCATCTCCCAAATGTCAAGGTCTATTTCCCCCAAACTCTATCAGTGCTAACATTTGAGCATATTGAGTATCCTTGCCAAGTTTGGTCCAGATCCATCATTGTTTGAGCCCACAGTGCTCTCAGGATGTTGGTGAACTACAACTCCAAAACTCAAAGTCAATGCCCACCAAAGTTTTCCATTATTTTCTCTTGATCATGGGAGTTCTGTGTGCCAAGTTTGGTTCAATTCCATTATTGGTGGAGTTCAGAATGCTCTTTGTTTGTAGGTGAACTATACATCCCAGCAACTGCATCTCCCAAATGTCAAAGTCTATTTTCCGCAAACTCCACCAGTGCTTACATTTGGGCCTATTACATCCCAGCAACTACAACTCCCAAATGACAAAATCAATCCCTGCCCCCCCCCCCCCCCCAACTCCACTAATATTCAAATTTGGGTGTATTGGTTATTTGTGCCAAATTTGGTCCAGTGAATGAAAATACATCTTGCATATCAGATATTTACATGACGATTCATAACAGTAGTAAAATGACAGGTATGAAGTAGCAACAAAAATAATTTTATGGTTGGGGGTCACCACAACAGAAGGAACTGGATTAAGGGGGTCACGGCATAAGGAAGGTTGAGAACCACTGCTATAGAGAATCCTATACATCCAGTATTTGTAGAATTCGGAGACAGCTGTTTCAGGCAAATACAAAGAGGTTCATGTCCCTTCAATAAAGCTTGGAAAAGTTACTTTTTTAGCATGGCACAGAAAAGAATGCTTAGTTTGTCCAGGAGGAACCAAGTGAATAGGTAAAAAAGAGGTCATAGGAAGCCCTAACTGGCAAATAGAGGGAGAACACATGGAGGCAGTGACAGACATTGTATTTCTAGGTGCAAAGATTACTGCAAATGCAGACTGCAGCCAGGAAATCAAAAGACTTTACTTCTTGGAAGGAAAGCAATGACCAATCTCGACAAAATAATGAAGAGTAGAGACATCACACTGGCAATGAATATCCGCATAGTTAAAGCAATGGTATTCCCTGTAGTAACCTACGGATGCAAGAGCTGGACCATAAGGAGAGAGAAGCTTTTGAACTGTGGTGTTGGAGGAAAATTCTAAGAGTCCATACTTCAGGAAATAAAGCCCAACTGCTTATTGGAGGGAAGGATATTAAAGGCAAAGATGAAGTACTTTGGCCACATAATGAGAAGACAGGAAAGTTCAGAGAAGACAATAATGCTGGGGGAAATGGAAGGAAAAAGGAAGAGGGGCCCACCAAGGGAAAGGTGGATGGATGGTATCCTTGAAGTGACTTGCTTGACTCTGAAGGAGCTGGGGGTGGTGACAGCTAACAGGGAGCTCTGGTGTGGGCTAGTCCATGAGGTCATGAGAGTCAACCTGGGAATCACAATCAGACACAGCAAAGGAATCTGCCCTTGTGCTTTGCTACTCTGCAGCTGAATACACATGCCCAGTGTAGAGCACATCTCACCAAGTTAAAATGGTGGATGTGGCTCTAAGGGGTGAGAATGGCGGAGTATTAAAATGGTAAATAAATAAATAATAAAATTCATGAGACATGCCGCAATATTACAGGATGTCTATGCTCTACACCACTGGAGAAATTATACTGTTTAACCAGTATTGCACCACCTAACATCCATCGGCCAGTAGTAGCCAGAAAAGAAAGGACAAAGGTATTGACATCTCCAGCCCATCTCCTGTTCGGGTATCAGGCAGCAAGCCAACACCTTAAATCAAGAAATAGCTTGCTGAGATCTACATCCACAGAGGTTGTGACTTCACAACCTCTGTGGCTGCTTTCTATAGATGCAGGCAAAACATCAGGAGAGAATGCTTCTATAACATGGCCATATAGCCCGGAACACCTACAACAACCCAGTGATTCCGGCCATAAAAACCTTCAACAATCATGTAATATTTTTAATGGTAAAAACATTAATGGATTGTACATGCAACATTCTCTCTTTTTTTTTAGGATGCTTTGTTTCACCCTCCTCACCTTACTTTGCTGTGGCTTCACCAGTGCAGGTAAATCCTTCCTGGGGGCACCTTTTCCCTAAAGAGTTTTTGTTGTCCAAGAATAAGTTCTTGTGTTCTTTTCCCATTGCAGGGGATGGCTTCAGCTTCAGTGAGGCAGTGAATTTCACTCCAGTCTTTACTCTGTGGGCCTTGACACACAGCCCTATATCCCAGAATATCTAGGCGCAAAATCCCACAATATCTGCTTTGAACTGGGGGCGCATCCAGACAGCCCCTTTAACACAGGAGTTCCCGTAATTAAAAGGGGGCTGTTCAGATGACATCCTAGCAAACACAAATTAATGCACCACAAACCAGCAAAACCCTGGTTTATGGCAAATTAATTTGTTAGTGGGTTTATTCCGCAACTTCTTGGAAGGCGTGAGATAAACCCACTACTTCCACTGTCTGGACTGCTCCCTCTTGACTCTTGAGGGGGAAGTCCAGACAGTAGTCCCGCAGTTTTCCGGGCTAAATTAGCCCAGAAAACAACTAGCACACCAGCTCCCTCCCCAAAACCACACAAAAGCCCTCCATTACAGTGGTGCCAGAGCTTCCCTGATGCCTAAAAATGATGCACCAGCAGAGCGAGGGGGAGTTATTTTCCTTCTCCCCCACTTTCTCCAGGCATGTCATTTCTACGCGCCAGGAGAACTCTGGCACCACTCTAATGGAGGCCAGGTAAGTTCTTTTACTTTTCATTGGGGGTTTTCAGGGAGAAGGCTAGAGTGTCCAGGTGTTCTCTCAGAAAGTCTTGGGAGAACATCTGGACACCCAACCCGGAAAGCATGCGCTTTCTTGGGGGGGGGGGGAGAGACTCAGATAATGTGGGATTTCCTGCCTTGATATTCCAGGATACAAGGCTATGTGGAAGGACCCTACAGTTTAAAGAAGGTGCTGAAGACTATCCCCAAAATAGGGCTAGCATCTTGGTTAGCCCCTCTAAATTCAGACTAAAACCTGGAGCAGATTCACACACACAGCACAATGACATGGAAGACACTAACTGCCTCTGCTTCTAATTAACCCCTTCCCTGCTCTGGGATTTATTTTAGAAGTCTTCCTGGCACGTTCTTCATCCTTTTCCGGCGAGTATGGCGGGGGCGGCGGAAAACGCTTCTCACACTCTGGGAACCAGCTGGACGGACCCATAACAGCCATTAGGGTTCGAGCTAGCCGCTCTTACATTACAGGGTAAGGAATGTATGGGAGCCTGGAGGACAGGAGACTAGCTGTATTTTGATATTGTTGTAGATGGTTAACAATTGAGCAGCTGATGTTTTTGCTATTGTTATGTGCCTTCAAGCTGGTTCTGACTTGTAATGATCCAATCACAAGGTTTTCTTGCAGAAGATCTGCCATTACCTTCCTCTGAGGCTGAGAGAGCATGACTTGCCCATTGCAACCCAGTAGATTTCCATGGCTGAGTGTCTGCCACTTAAAATAAATCTAATATTTTCTTCAAATTCAGAAGAATCTCTGTAAAACTGTATTAGGAATCATGCAATCACCAGATGTCTAAAACTTCTAGCATTCCTCATCCTCAACTATGTGGATGGGGCAAATGGGAGTTGTAGTTGGGGTATTAGTCGGGGGCTACATGATTCCCTTGCCTGCTGCAAAACGTCCTTGGTAGAGTAGGAATTAATGCAGACTCAAAGTGTGGCGTAGCAGTTTGAGCATTGGAATATGTCCAGAGAACAGAATTCAAATCCCAACTTGCCCATGAAAACCCATTGAACAAATCACACATCCTTGATTACAAAAACTCAGCAACATGTTTATCATAGGGTCACCACTTAGGACTTGAAGGCACACAACAAGAAGCAGGACTGAAAAAAAATAGAGCTTAACAAGAGAGTTAATTTAAATTTTCTGATCAAGGCCTAAATACCTTGAAGACACCAGATCCCATTTGGTTATAGAAGCTGAGCAGGACTGAGCCTAGTTAGTGCTTGGTTGGAACTGAAATCTGTGTTGAATAAGTATATTTGTTTCAATGGACTAATGAGCACCTGATTCTACATTTCATGGTAGTCCTCTTGGGACACAAAAGGCTCATTCAGGCCCCATCTATACTGCCATATAAAATCCAGATTATCTGCTTGGAACTGGATATTAGTCTACACTGCTATATAATCCAGTTCAAAGAAGATAATCTGGATTTTATATGGCAGAGTAGATGGGGCCTCAGAGAGGCCTGCATCCTACCCTGATTTATACATCTTCTGCTCTTTCCAGTATCCAGGTCCGTTATGGCAAAGAGTGGAGCGAGTACCAGGGAGGCTCAGCTGGAGACCTAGAGGAGATCTTCCTGCAGCCAGGCGAATCCATCATCCGGGTCCAGGGGACATACAGGAGCTACCTCCGCAAACTCGTGTTTATTACTGACAAAGGGCGCAACCTTCCCTTTGGGAAGGGCACAGGCACCAGATTTAATGCTGCTCCAATGTACCCTGGCACCGTCTTGCGTTACATCAGTGGCAGCTCCAGTTCAGTCATTGATGCCATTAGTTTCCACTGGGATAACTACCCCAGTAGCTGCCCCAGTTGTGGAAAGTGAGCATAAAATAGTGAGAGACAAGGTACTTAATTAAAACAAGAAGAGGCACCTCAGTGTAAAGTCTTTGGCTTCACCCCGATGTGGCCACCATATCCACCCATTCAATGAACGTTCTAGTCCATTCCCCCCAAAGTCGCCTTCTTTTGTAGTTCAGTTAAGCCAATCCACATCTTGCCTCAGTCCTGGTCCACTTCTTCTAAGCTTTGTCTCTTCTCAAATGGCCACCGCTACCACTGCTAGCAAATAAAAGCAAATTTTGAAACAAGTCAGGACCAACACCACCATTAGCAGAGCAAATGGAGCATCATATTTATTTATTTACATCTTGGAGTATCATATTTATTTATTGTATCAGGAGCAAACCAAACAGTTGTATTTTTTTACAGTTTTAAAATTTGAAAACTTGGCATTCTATTAAATATCCTTTGACCAGAAGCTGGCCAATTGGAGTGCCTCTGGTGTTGCTATAACAAAGTCCTCCATTGTGCATGTCGTGTGGCTCAGACTGCATTGTAATAGGTGGTCTGTGGTTTGCTCTTCTCCACACTCGCATGTTGTTGACTACACTTTGTAGCCCCATTTCTGAAGGTTGGCTCTGCATCTCGTGGTGCCAGAGCGCAATCTGTTCAGCGCATTCCAAGTCACCTAGTTTTCTGTGTGCCCAGGAGGGAGTCTCTCATTTGGTATCATCCACTGGTTGAGGTTTTAGGTTTTAGCCCTGCCACTTTTGGATTCTCGTTTGCTGAGGTGTTCCAGCGACTGTCTCTGTATATCTGGGTGATATCCTAACAGGGGATGGGCCGGAGATGTCACTGCTGGTTGCTACTTCCCGGCAGAGGGTCGGGATAATATAGTTACAGATCAACAGATTCACTCCATATACAGTTACTCAGACTTTATACAGTTCATATCCCAATATCGGCTAAACAGTGTGATTTCTCCAGTGGGGTAGGGCGCATGTCTAATTGAAAGCCACATCCACTGTTTTAGCGTTTTAGTGTGGTGGGATGTGATCCACGCTGGGCATGAAAAGCGCAAGGACGTATCATGAATGGGCTACATTATTGTAGTTCTTCAATTTGTTAACGTCCTTATTTTTATGTTTCTGGTATCTATATGGAAACTCTCCAACCATCCCTCTGCACCATATATTCTGCGCGAAAACGGTTACAAAAGTACTTTTCTACAGAAATGAAAAATTGCAGACAAGGACTTGTGTCTTTAACAACAGACTATCAACTGTTATTTTCTTTTAAACAAGAGCAAAGCAGTTTGACTGCTGTTCTTTGAAACTGTCTCAGCATTAAAGGAATTCAGTGTTGAGGCATTTAGAGTTTTGTCACAAGGACCTTTCAATAGATAAAGAGAGTTGCTAATGAACATAAAGCATTTTCTCAATGCTATCTTTCTGTAGCATAATGATTTCATAAAGGATGTCAAGGGGAATTTTTCCACTGTGAGGACCAACTATAAAACTGCTAAATGTGTTGTTGAAAGTGGGAGATCATTGACTGATGGATGTTCAAAAATTCATGGCCAAGATATTGAAGAAACTGTGCTCTCAGAAAGGACCTTATATTAGTTATGCTGATGATTTATCATTATTATTTTATTTCTTATCCGCCTCTCCTCGTGTCACAAGAAATATAATATGCAGATTTCACAAATGTGGATTTGATATGTGTGGGTATGAATGGAGTTGAATGAAAGATATATAAATGAGAGTTCATAATTTGGAAACACCATTCTAAAAGACCAAGGCCTGCAATGACTAAATCATTAACTACCTGCTTGCTGGACTCTAATTAAAAGTTGCTAATGAGAAATGAAATACTAAATTGTGATAAGAACTGTGACAATGATAAGATCAATGTTTACAATGTTAAGAAGGAAGTCAACACAAGGCTAACACCAATCAAGAAGAATCAACATCTGGCCAGGAATCTGAGATGAAGTCAGGTGAAAACTCAAAATAATTCCAAACAGGGCAATTATTTACTACATCAGCAGAAATATTCCTATAAAAGATTCAATCTAATAATTCTCAAATTGTGACATGCAGAGATGCTGTTCACCCACCTCTCTAGTCCATGAGAAGGAGAGAGATGGTGTATGTCTCCTCTCAATGGAAGAAAAAGGAGTGCAATTTTAGAGTCTTGGATTTTGTGCAGGAAGTCAGGTTCTGCTGTATGGAAACTGATTCTTGGCATTGTTCTTATGGAAAGAAGTTTTGGCATGTTGGCGTTTTAGAAGTTTTGCCATTATGGAAGTTTTGGAACAATCCATTGACAGGCTGCAAGGAAAGCAGGTGTTCTTCTCCAGGAGATGACGGGAAGAATAGTGATGTATGCATGAGTGAATGTTGACTACAAATGTAACCCCTTTCATTGTTTGTTTCTTAGCCAATGTAACTGTAAGTGGTCTGTGAATCCAATATAGTTGCATAGAATCTGTATGTCCAATGTCATTCTTTGTGTGAAAGTTCTGTAAAAGTTCTGATGTACCCTCTCACACTGAAAAAATGCAATAAAAAGAACCTATACTTTAAAGTTATTGAAAAATTATTCATGACACTTGTGGCTTCAAGATGAAGAACTAGTGGTACATCTACACTGGAGAATTAATGATGCGGTTTTATAACACTAACTCCCATGGCCCAACATTATAGAATCTTGGGATTTGTAGTTTTGTGAGGTGCTCCTTGGAAGAGAAGGCTAAAGACATTGTAAAACTAGAATGCCCGTGATTCCATAGCATTGAGCCATAACAGTTAAAGTAGTGCCAAACTGTATTAGTTCTACAGTGTAGGTGTACTCTACACAAAACGTTGAATATTTTTCTTTGGAGGATAAATACTGCTTAACTATATATTCGTATGAGAAGGTATTGTGTGCTAGATTTCTAGATGAATGGCTAGGAGTGTTTAGTAAGCTCTCATGAGCTCTCAATACGTGTATTTCATGTACTTACAAGATATATAGCCTAATACATGGGTGACTGGTAGCTAAGCAAACAGATACCTAAATATAATATTAACACTATAGCTTCTCCAACTAGACTATAGTTGCATACATAGAAGTCCTCCCGGTCTCATACCAATTTTTTGTTTGTCATGGATTCCAGAGCCCATGTGGGGTGGGTAATAGACCATTAATTCTGAGCCACGTTGCGCAACTAGAATAGCATAAGGTCCTAGATATCATACTTTTGCCAAAAGAGAACATCTCTAGGACCTCATCCCATTAGGCAAAAAACCCGGGAGGAACCAACTTATTAACATAGCGTTCCATTCCGATTTGTGAATATTCATGTTGTTATAAAATGAAGAATTTGGTCCCCCTATCACATGTAGTGGACTGCAAGTGTCCCAACCACAATAATCCGCTTTGCCATCACGTGAAGTGGAATCTCTGTCCATATCACTTTCTTTTCCCTTTAGTCATAAAAAAGTGTAATGGCACAAAACTAGAAGTGTGAAACTTCATATTTTTTTGGGAAAACAAGATCTAGCAAGCTTGTGTGTCCTTATTTTCTGGTGTTGATCAGATCGCAATTTCCAACATTGCTTTGGCTTACTGCTGTACTAAGTTCTCATAATGGAAACAGTTTTATTTGTGCTGCTGGCCGCCAAGCCTGGGTCCAACAGGAACCCCCGGAACTAGCTTTGTGACATATGATCACCACAGTGGAACTGCAATTTTAAAGCACGTAAAAACAGCGAAATTTCTACATCTGATGAGGTCACTAGAGACAGAGAAGACCTTTCTAGCAATCTCTAGGTCCTCCAATACGATTCCTTCAAAAGTCAACCATAACTTCATGCTGGAAGACCCAGAAATTCTTATAGAGGTATTCTCTCAGGTTAAAAATTAGCAATTTCATTATTCACAGTTTTTCAGTTTCAAAGGAGTTCTGGGCCCCTAACCCCGGCTTCCTTTCTTCCTCACTTAGGTAATTCCTCATAGCCTGAGGATAATGGCCCTCCAACTGTAGTGTCTTGGTGGTGGGTCTGTAGGTGGCCGTAGAAACCTTTTCTTGATTTGCATGTTCTTCTGCAGTAAGGACATTGGTTTCCAGGTGGAAGGCAGTCCCCATCAGGTTTGTCTTGACGTGCCTTCCTCTTGGCACATTCCTTCCTTTTGCCCTCCATTCGTGCCTCTTCAAATTCTGCAGCACTGCTGGTCACAGCTAACCTCTAGTTAGAGCGCTCATGGACCGGGGCTTCCCAGTTCTCGGTGACTATGCCACAGTTTTTAAGGTTGGCTTTAAGCCCATCTTTACATCTCTTTTCCTGTCCACCAACATTATTTTTCCCATTCTTGAGTTGATACAACCAGGATCTTCCACATTTGATTTTACCTAACCAACCAACACATCAGGTAAACAAGTTGGGGAATTGTTGTTAAACATTTTATTCATTACAGCCCATGATTTCTTCAAGAAAATTAGAGTGTCAAAAAGTATTGGCAACCCCATACACACTTTTTAGGACAGGTGTGCAAGAGAAACTGGCTGGTGGTCGTGCAGTGCATTTCATTACAGAATGGAGATTTGAACCTAAGTTTTCCCTATTTTCATTTACACTCCCATAATTATGGTTATCCCTCCATATTTGCAGGACATCCTTAGAGATACCAAGGTGCTTGTTAAATAAAGCAATTGTCCTCTCAACTCTGCTATATACCTGCAAAATGTGGACTGTCTACAGATGTCACACTCTTGGAACAATTCCATCAGCATTGTCTCCGAAAAATTCTGCAAATCTCTTGGGAAGGCAGGTGGACAAATGTCAGCATGCTGGAAGAAGCAAAGACCACCAGCGCCTAAGCGATGCTTCTACGCCATCAACTCCACTAGACTGGCCACATTGTCCAAATGCCCAATCACGGTCTCTCGAAGCAATTACTATACTCCCAACAGGTGTTCCTTGAGTTTCAGGAACACCTGTTGAGAACCAGGTCTTCTTAAACCCTCTCCCTAAGGGTTGTGTAGGACAGGGTTACAATGCCTCCAGATGGCGATGTTTGGCCATAAGAAACAGAGGAAGAAGCTTCTCTGTTCGCAAGCCACGTCCTATGAGTTTTCGGTTTGATCGGGTTTGATTATAATGGATTGGAATCCTGAAAAGCCATTGAGTGCAAGGAAATAAATATAAGACCCACATTTTCTACAATGCCATTGCCCCTTTTCCCAGGAACAGATTCTTAATCCTATCACCATGGACAATATGCTGCTTTGGAACACAATGGACACTGAGGAAGAGCCACCAGACCTGCTTGATTGGGGCTCATTGAAGACAATCATCACAAAAATAAAACTCATGGGACCTGATGGCCTCTCTATGTCTGTCCCGAAGTTGGAACAATGTGATCCAATAATAAAACTATGACTTCTTTGTCTAAAGCAGGGGTCCCCAAACTACAGGCCGCGGGCYGTATGCGGCCCGCCGAGGGCATTTCTCCGGCCTGCACGGCATGGCCTGGCCTGGAGGCGCCGCTCMGCCAATCGCGGGAACCCTCTGCTCATGTGGGAGGGAGAAGCCTCCCAGGTGGGTCCTCTGGAGACCAGAGCGGCCRAAGCAGAGGGTTCCCGGCCGCTATTGGCAGAGCGGCGCCGGGTGGGCATGGCCAGGGAACGCTGCTGTTCCCTGGCCATGCCCATCTGGCGCCGCTCCGCCAATAGCGGGAACCCTCTGCTCCAGCCGCTCTGCTCTCCGCAGCCACAAGGCGCCTCCCACTCCACTCCTAGCCGCGCCGGGAAAACAAGCCCCRCAGCGCCGCTCTGAAAAGGTTTGACACATTTGGGCACATCAATAATAATAATAATAATATATTTAATAATAATATATTTAACAATATATTTAATAATAATAATATAATTATTATTTGTCAAATACATATATATATACACAATTATTATTATTATTATTATTATTATTATTATTATTATTATTATTATCAGTGGCAAGTTTGGTCCAGATCCATCATTGTATGAGTTCACAGCAATCTCTGGATTCTATTTCCCCCAAACTCCACCAGTGTTCACATTTGGGCATATGGAATATCAGTGCCAAGTTTGGTCCAGATCTATCATTGAGTCCACAGTGATTTATGGAGGCAGGTGGACTACAACTCCAAAACCAAAGGACACTGCCCACCAAACCCTTCCAGTATTTTCTGTTGGTCATCAGAGAACTGTGTGCCAAGTTTGGTTCAATTCCATCGTTGATGGGGTTCAGAATGCTCTTTGATTGTAGGTGAACTATAAATCCCAGCAACTACAACTCCCAAATGTCAAGGTCTATTTTCCCCAAACTCCACAAGTGCTCACATTTGAGCATACTGAGTATCCTTGCCAAGTTTGGTCCAGATCCATCATTGTTTGAGCCCACAGTGCTCTCGGGATGTTGGTGAACTACAACTCCAAAACTCAAAGTCAATGCCCACCAAAGCTTTCCATTATTTTCTCTTTCTTTTTGAGTGAAGGGCATACATTGGGTTGTTAGGTGTCTTGTGTCCAAAATTGGTGTCAATTCATCCAGTGATTTTTGAGTTCTGTCAATCCCACAAATGAACATTACATTTTTATTTATATAAAAGTGTGGGTTTTTGTTTTTTGATTTTGGGGGGGGGGGTTTGCACTGCAAATAATATATGTGCAGAGTGCATAGGAATTCATTCATGTTTTTTTCAAAATATAATCCGGCCCTCCAACAGTTTGCGGGACTGTGACCCGGCCCTCTGTTCAAAAAGTTTGGGGACCCCTGGTCTAAAGTTTCCATCCTGCCCTCCCTCCCCCAGCAGTCATTGGAGAGCATAAATCTGCATTGGAAGTGGAGAACACTCTCTGATTGGCTGTCAGAGAATCCCGCTCAGCTGATTGTGATGTCAAGAGAGCTCCACCAATTACAATGGGGTGGGAGCGGGAATTTCAAAGAATTGTCCTGTATAAAAATGTTTGTTTTTCAATGTTATCTCATCTCAACTTTCTTTGGCAGATTACCGCAAGCTGGCATCTACTTTAGCTGTCCTAAAAAAAAAAAGAACCTTGGTGGCTTCTTCAACTTGATGAGATTTTTTGATTGGGAAATATTGGGTTATAGTTTATTCGTCTTGCCAGGTGCACAGATCCATGGGCGACCCACTGCTAGTGCTGGTATCCACTTATTGGGACTCTATGTAATGCAATTTTTATTCCTGGGTTGTAAATGTCATTTCCTAATTGATTGTATCGTAAAAACATGGAAAAAATTTGTTAAACTGCAAAAACATTGTTTTTTGCAGAACATCCTGCAGCACATTTTGCTATACTTTTCCAATGAATATCTTATCAAGTCTTGACAAATTTAACATAGTTTGTGGCAGCCACAAAAATGAAGTTTCTGAAGTATAACAACTACTTTCAAATTAAGTACTGGGTGTCACAGTGGGTAAAACCGCTGAGCTGCTGAACTTGCTGACCGAAAGGTCAACTGTTTGAACCCAGGGTGAGCTCCTGCTGTAAGCCCCAGCTTCTGCCAACCAAGCAGTCCAAAAACATGCATATGTGAGTAGATCAATAAGTACCGCTTTGGAAGGAAGGTAATGGCGCTCCATGCAGTCATGCTGGCCCATGACCTTGGGTGCATCTAAGGACAATGTCGGTTCTTTGGCTTAGAAATGGAGATTAGCAGCACTCCCCAGAGTTGGATACAATTAGCTTAATGTCAAAGGGAAACCTTTACCTTTACTTACTGCACAATTAAACAGCAAAGAACACTTTAAAACCTTCCTTTTGGGGGACTTTGGAAGAGTGCCACGCTGTGGAGCTGCCAAAAGGTACGCAAAGAACCAGTTTTAATGTTTGATTAGAAAGGGTGGGAAACTCTCTAATAAAGATGGCAGGGCCGTTTCAGCTGGGACAGTCAACAGTACCTACCGAATGAAGGTTTTGAAGGCAGCCGATTGGAGGTTGATACAGATGGGAACCCCTTTCCCTTGTTGTTGGTCCAAGATAAACCTGTGCATCAGTTCTGAAAAAAAAAGAGATCATTTGAATGCCTTTGTCTCTATTTTCCACTCTCCATGGAATGACCCTCCACTTATCCATGAGTAATATCAAAAACCTTAATTTTGGCCCCCCAAACATTCCTTCGATTTATTAAACATCAGTAATCTCTGTTCTCCTCTGATATATGGTGTCTTGGATTATATTATGTAACGTGGGTGTGTTGTTGTTGTTGTTCATTCGTTCAATCGTCTCCGACTCTTCGTGACCTCATGGACCAGCCCACGCCAGAGCTCCCTGTCGGCCGTCACCACCCCCAGCTCCTTCAAGGTCAGTCCAGTCACTTCAAGGATGCCATCCATCCATCTTGCCCTTGGTCGGCCCCTCTTCCTTTTTCCTTCCACTTTCCCCAGCATAATTGTCTTCTCTAGGCTTTCCTGTCTCCTCATGATGTGGCCAAAGTACTTCAACTTTGTCTCTAGTATCCTTCCCTCCAGTGAGCAGTCTGGCTTTATTTCCTGGAGGATGGACTGGTTGGATCTTCTCGCAGTCCAAGGCACTCTCAGAACTTTCCTCCAACACCACAGCTCAAAAGCATCGATCTTCCTTCGCTCAGCCTTCCCTAAGGTCCAGCTCTCACATCCGTAGGTGACTACAGGGAATACCATGGCTTTGACTAGGCGGATCTTTGTTGCCAGTCTGATGTCTCTACTCTTTACGATTTTATCGAGATTGGACATTGCTCTCCTCCCAAGAAGTAAGCGTCTTCTGATTTCCTGGCCACAGTCTGCATCTGCAGTAATCTTTGCACCTAGAAATACAAAGTCTGTCACGGCCTCCACGATTTCTCCCTCTATTTTCCAGTTGTCAATCATTCTTGTTGCCATAATCTTGGTTTTTTTTATGTTTAGCTGCATCCCGGCTTTTGCGCTTTCTTCTTTCACCTTGATTAGAAGGCTCCTCAGCTCCTCCTCGCTTTCGGCCATCAGAGTGGTGTCATCTGCATATCTGAGGTTGTTAATGTTTCTTCCAGCAATTTTCACCCCAGCTTTGCATTCATCAAGCCCTGCACGTGGGTAATAAATGTCATTTTCTAATTGGTTCCATCATAAAAACATGGAAAGGGATTTGACTGGGAAGAAACAATATGGGATAAGATATTGAAGATGGAAAAGAAAATAATAACAATGATTTATAACAAGTTGCTAGTATGGGCAACTGAAAAAGAACATGTCAAATACTGCATGATTAAATGGGCAGAAAATTTAAGAAGGCCAATTCAATTTAGGGAGTGGGAACAAATGTGGAACAGAAAATTAAAATATACTTATGCAATGGATTTGAAAGAAAACTGGATTAAAATGTTTCACAGGTGGTATACCACTCCAAAAAAAGCTAGGCCATATGTATAAAATATTTCTGAAAAATGTTGGAAAGGCTGCGAACAGGTAGGCACATTTTATCATATGTGGTGGACTGTAAGGAAACTTCGAAGTATTGGTCATTGATCCATGAAGAGACACAATTTTTTTTGAAAAGGACTTTAAAAAGAAGCCTGAATACTATCTGTTAAGTTTTACAGATTTGGAGTTACAGCTTGGTGAAAATGATGATAAACTATTTACATATATTACAACGGCGGCAAGAATTATTTTTGTGAAATTTTGGAAACAGGAACAAATTCCGGCCATAGATGAGTGGCTGGACAAAATAAGAGAAATAAGAGATATTGATGAACTAACTTTTTTTATTAAAAAAGAATACCGGGAAATCATTAAAAAGGTCTGATTGGGACCTTTTTTATGACTACAATATAAAAAATAGAAGAGCGAAAGACATAGAAAAGATTTAAACAAAACTGTGAAACAAATGAGAAGAAGAACCTGAAGACGGAATGGAAGTCAACCACCCCCTTTTTTCCCCTTCTCTTTTTTTTCTTTTCCCCTTTATTCCTACTTTCCTATCTTCTCCCAAATATTCCTCCTCTTTCCATGTAATTATATGTAACCTCAATAAAAAATATTTTTAAAAAAAGCATGGAAAGGGTTTATTAAACTGCAAAAACTTTGTTTTTGTGGGACATCCTGCAGCACATTTTGCTATAGTTTTCCAATGAATATCTCATCGAGTCTCAACCAATTCAACATAGTTTGTGGCAGCCACAAAAAAGGAAGTTTCTGGAGTATAACAACTACTTCCAAAGTAAGTACCACACAATTAAACGGGGAAATAACTACTTTCAAACCAGGAACAGAACATTTTTTCAAATTTTGTTACACGGTGTTGTCCAGGAGCTTGAAAGTTTGAATCCCTGCTCAGCTATGGACGCCTGTTTGGGAAAGTCACACTCTCTCAGCCCAAGAGGAATGTGATGGAGAACCTCTTTTGAACAAAACTTGTCAAGGATAATGTCAGAGTGAGGACGAGCTCGCAGGCCCTCGGCTTCAAGCTGATATGACCACGCAGCAGGGAGTTCTGCAGTTCCTAGGCACATTGACTTTCAAGATGAAGAAGGAATTGTGGCTCTAGCAGCAGCATCAATAGAGACTTTTCTTTTCCTTGCTAGATCCCCCCGCTTCATTGTAACAACCCCCCAATAAAAAAGTATATTTTCTTTCAACTTTTTCTCTCTCCAGAGTGATATTGTGACGATGTGTAAATTTTATTCCTTTGGTTATGTGTAGTTTGGACAATGGTTTAGGGATGGTAAGTATGGGAGGTTATGTTTTGTGGGAGTGGCTTGGCGTTAGCTGAGTTGCCATAGCAACAGGGGCGGAGCCAACCGCCTC